GGGGGGGAGCCGAGGGAGCCTGTGGCCCCGGGGGGTTTGTCTCCTGTGGGGGATTTATCTCCTGGGGGTTTATCTCCGGGGGGGTTGTCGCCCAGGGGGGTTTATCTCCAGGGGGTTTGTCGCCCAGGGTTTCATCTCCAGGAGTTTTTATCGCCGGGGTGGTGGTGGCCGGGCTGCTCTGACAGGAGCAGAGAGAGCAGGACCCTTGTGGGTCCCTGTGACGGGGTGGGAAAAGGGGGTTGCTGAGTTCTGTGTTCGTGTGAACTGGTCTATAACATCTTGTCTTTTGCCTGGCAAGGTTTTAACCCTCCACAAATCTCCTTTGCTTCCCGTGAGATGGTGTGTTTGCTTATTCTGGCTGTTTGGTGCAGGTGGAGAAAGTGATTAGGGAGTGATCCTGCCTTGTGACACAGAAATGTAGTAAAAACAGAGGTATGAGTTCGTTAAATCAAGGAGTTAATTCGGAAATACTTTTAAATACAGTTCTGAACCAGATAAAAGTTATTTTGGTAAGTCCTCTAAATACAATAGAGATTTTATTTACAGCGTAGAAAAAAAGAGGGGGGAAACCCATTTTCTTGCTTCTCACTCACCTAACTGTGACTAATTACTCTTTGCTTAAAGAAAAAAAATTAAAAGGAAGAGATTAAATTTCTGTCTGCAAGGCACAAATTAATCCATTTACAGAATTAGTGCTCCATTAGTTCATGGGAGCCCAAAACTGTCTCAGAGGGGATTTGAGTTTTGGATTCTTTCCAGTAGACTTTTAGACAGGCTGGTGGTGACTGAGCCTAAGAGTGTGGTTTGCAGTGGGGAGCACTGGGCTAAAGACAAAGTGGGTGGATTTTTGAGGTGTAGGAAGGGAAGGCAGGAACAGGTTGCCCAGGGAAAGTGTGAAAGTCCCATCCCTGGCAGTGTTGAAGGGCAGGTTGGATGGGGCTTGGAGCAGCCTGGGCTGGTGGGAGGTGTCCCTGCCCATGCAGGGGGTTGGGGCTGGATGGTCTCTAAGGTCCCTTCCCACCCAAACCAGTCTGTAATTCTACTAAGACCTCTATAAAATTAAGGTTGCTTTAGGATGGAATTATTATGAGCTGCTGCTTGTGCTTTGTTGCAAGCTCATGCTTACAATTTGACTATACATACTCTTGCAGATTAGTAAAAAAAACCAAACCAACATTTTATAGCTGTTTTTTGTTGTGTTTTTTTTGTTCCCCCCCCTGTTTTGCACAAGGGAACTGTCAGTCTTCACTGTTGTGTTTGCCCTGCTCTGTCTGCAGGCAGCCTGTCCTTCTTGGTTCCATGCAGACAGACCAGGTTCTGCTGTTTGGACCTGAGTCAACTCCAATTTGGAAGCAATCTCTTCCTGGTGGGGCTGTGCCTGAGCTCATAAGCCTCCAGCTAATAAGCCTTGCCCAATGGCTCATCTGATTTGTTTGGGCAGTGTGTTGCTCTAAAATGGTTTGTGTGGCTCCTGGATCTGAGCTGGATCACATCTGGCCAGCTTGAGGTCTCTCTTCATGTGGCCATGGAGATGTGTTCTCCCTGTTCCTTTTATTTTTGGTATCCCCTTTGGAAACAGATGCAGTTCAGATCACATGAAAGCAAACAATCTCCTTGCAAATCCACAGCAGGAAGGAGGGAGCCAGTGGTCTTGGTCAGAGGACACAGAGAGGAAAAAGGGTGGTTGGTGCTGGGAAACTGTGGATCAGAAGGAATGGGAGCAGGGAGGTTTGTCAACAGGTCTTGTTTAGGTAACTTTAGAAAGTGCAACATTCCAGAGTTTATACAGTGGTGCTGTCTTGCTAAAAAGGGAATATTTACCTGTGTTTGTGCTGTCTAAACACTTTTATCTTGTGTGAAATACCATTTCTATTAAAAACCTTCAACCACTGTATTATACCATAGCTTTCCTTGAAATAAACCCAGCAGTGCCTTTTTTTTGCTGCTTGATGGGTGCTGCAAAGGGTCCAGGTTTAAATGAGCACCAAGTGCTTGTAGAAGAAACCTACCAAAGGTGAGCAGAGCTGGTGAGCAGGGGATGGTCCTTATTTGGAATCTCCTAGGTTTTTTGGTGGCAAACAATGGAGATAGGGTTAGATTTTGTGTGGGGATAGATGGAGAGTGATCAGGTGTTGGGGAGCATCTGGTAGAGGGGGTACAGGAACCAGGAAAAAAACACTGGAGGACAAAACTTCAGGATGTGTGACAGAAATGGTCAGAATGGGCTGATTTTGCTCTCTCTGTGTTATATATAATATAAAAATTTGGAATATCCAGACAGAAAGGAGAGATAGGACAAATCTTGTTGCAGCAACTGCAGGAAGAAGATGTAATAGTTATGTAGTTAAAACAAAAAACCCACTAGGAGAAATCCACATGCAGCATTTAGCTGTTAGGTAAGTGATGGATTCTTTGGTTTTACACTTTTTGGAGACACTTAGTGAGTTAAAAGAGCAGCTCTTCCAGCATGTTTCTTATTAGAGAGACAGTTTTGTGTTACTAATGAAAGACAGAAAGAAATGTCTTCTCCATTCAGGTTTATATCCAAGTAGTCATTCCTTTTCCATCATCTGTGTTTGAAATCCTTTAAGTGGAATTAATAATGGGCTTATATGTCTTCCAAGTGCTCACTTGTTTGGTCTTTTGCTGCTGAAACAGTAGAGAAACTTTTCTCCTGGAACTTGTCTTGCCTTTCTGTGCCCTCTGACTATAAATAAGTTTTACAGTTCTCCTCAATATGCTTTTTAACT